CTCAAAGTTCTTCCCGATTCAACCCACGACCCAGTTCCCCTTCTCCCTTCCACATTTTAGCAACATCCCACTTACAGACACAAAAATCTATATTAGTTATCTGGTTCAGCATAACAAATAATCCTTGAACTGACTGGTTTCAAAGTACGTGGCTCAAGAATTCAGAAACAATTAGCTGGGTGGTCCTGGCTCAAGATCTCCCACAGGGTTGCAGTTAGATGCTAGCAGGGGTTGCAGTCCCATCCGAAGGCTTACCTAGGGCTGGAGCATCCCCTTCCAGGATGGCTTCCTCACATGGCTGTTTGCAGAAGGCTTCAGTTCCGCCCCATGCTGGCCTCTGTAGGCAGCTTGACTGTCTTCACAACACGGCACCCCGTCCCTCCCCATGCAAACAATCCAAGTGAGAACAGGGAGGAAGCCACAATGTCTTTTCTGATTTCGTCTCAGAAATCATTCCTCATCTCTTCTTTCACATTCTTATTTTTGTTGTAGTTGCTACTGCTGTTTTATTTTATTTTTATTTTTCCCATATTCTTCTTTCTTAAAATCAAGTGTAGATACATTCCATAATCAAGGTGAAGGGATTAGACACCAAATTTTAAAGAAAGGAGTACCAAATAATTTGTGGATGTTTAAAAAAATAAACAAGGACTCTCCCTCTCCCAAATCAGGAATTTTTCAGGACACTTTAAAGCTACCTCTTTTCTTGTAGCTGTTGAACTAAGAAAGAAAGGGAGGGAAATAGGCTGAAGTGAATTAATAATCATTTCAATTCACAGCTTTGCCGGATTTTTAATGTGAAGATAGAACATTGACTAGAATGAGACTGTGAATATTAAAATGGAAGACGTGGGAAGATTCAGATCACTTCAAGTTCCCTAAACCCCTGATCCTACAAAAATATGCCGCTCAGACCTCCTGCTGCAAGGACTGTAATTGACTCTGGATCCAGCTGCTGCCCCTCTGGATCTTCCCCACACACAAGACACTGAGGTCCTGCTCCCTTGGGCTGTTCGTAGCCAATGACTGAGCTTGGAGAAGTACTAAGGCAGGCCCACGCTGGCAACAGGTGAGAATCCTTCTCCTGGCAGCTTTGACTTGAGCACCCGCCACTGGCCTGGCCAATCCTTTAGTTGAGTTGTGCTGCAGCCTAAGATTCTTCCAACCCTCCCTCCCTCCCTCTCTCCTTGCACAGGGATCACACATGCATCATGACCTAATGGCTCTTCTTATCTTCTCCTGCTCCCTCCCCCAGGGAGCCTGTTGAAAGCCTAATCCCATATTGCCATTCCTTTCATCATAGACCCAACCTAACGCAGCCTTCCTTGTCAGAGAAACTCTCCCTCCTCCCCTGTGATAGGAGGCTCTCCCCACCCTGAGTGAACACTGCCAGGACCTTCCTGAAAATAACCTGGCAGGAGGCTGGGGAAGCCAGTTCTCTTCATTCTTTACCCCCAACCCTCCTCATTGCCTTGAATCCTACCATCAGGAATGTGCTGAGACAGCTTGGATCATGTCACAAGAGCCAGCTGTTAAATGTTCAGGAATTTGTAAGATGGTTGGCAAACACAGTCATTATTAAATTATACTTAGTTAAATAAATCATATCAAAACCAAAGATAATAGAAACTCACCACTTCCTAGTTAATATGACTTTCCATTACCTGTACTCTGGAGGTTGCTACATCTCTAATACCTGGGAGTGGGAAACAACGCCATGGTGTAGGGCTGGCGCTGCTCTTTGGGTTTGGAGGCCAGATCTACAAGCGCTCTTTCAGCTCTGTCTGTGGTGACCTGAGGGCTTGCCAGCTTTGAGGGCAGCCTGAAGCAAGAGAAGGCTTTTAGCTGCTCCAGAAGCTCTGCCCTCTGGTCCCGTGAGCCCAGAGGGCTCTAAGTACCTGTGCCACACAGGCTGCTTTGGCACATTCAGGGAGCGAATCAGAGCACAGGGCTTTGCAGCCAAGCCAAGAGTTCTGTGGCATACAACTGTGTTCCATTTGAGAAACCAGTCTCGGTGTGTGGTGTGGCACTAGTAAACCAGCGCTTCGATTATGAGCCCCTAGGTAACCAAGCTCTTTATAACCTGAGGGTTACCTGATCCACCAAGTCTTGAAGTCAGCTAGCAGTTTGTGATTGTGCACAGTGTGCCAGGCTCTGTTCTGAGCACTTCCCTTGTAACGTTGCCTTTAATTCTCCCCACGACTCTGGAAGACTGGACTGTTATTACTACAATTCCTACTTTAGAAAACTAAAGCTGAGAAGGGATACACAATTTGCCCCATAATCATATAGCTCATAAGTAGCAGAGCTTGCTTTCGTTTTTTTTGTTTGTTTGTTTGTTTGTTTTTATCCTCACCCGAGGACATTTTTCCATTTTTTGTACAGATAAAGTGGGAGGGAGAGAGGAAGAGAGAGAGAGGGAAACATCGATGTGAAAGGAATACATCGAGTGGCTGCCACCCGCACAACCAACCAGGGCCGGGGACAAACTGCAACCGAGGTACGTGCCCTTAGCGGGAACCGAACCCGGGTCTCTCCGGACCGCAGGCGGACGCTCTAACCGCTGAGCCAAACCAGCCAGGGCTTTGAATCCAGGCCCTTTAGGTCCAAATCCATGTTTAATTGCCAAATTATATTGCTTCTCATGATCGAGTGGAAGTTTTCAGTTGAGGACTGGGCTTGATCAGAAACTGAAGATGCAAGAAATTGCATGGTGTGCCGGCTCCTCCCACACTGCCATTCTTCAGCCGACACATGTGACCTAGGGACGTTCTCAAAGTCCAGGAGACTGAATGGACAGCTGGCGCGACATGCTGGCACCAGCACAAGTGGCCACCACACTGCAGCCCAACTCAGGGTGGCCCTGACAAACAACTGAGAAGGGAATCTTTCCCATAGACATTTTAAAGTATTTCACCATGTTGAAATACTTTAAATAGTTTAAAGTATTTCACTTGGTCTGAAAGGAGAACCAGTCTGAGGTGTATATCTGTAGCTGATGGTTTAGCTCAGCAAGCACTGAGAAGGATCAAGAGTTAGGGCTGGTAATAAGCATATTAGGGAGAAGAGGCATGCAGGGGATCTCTCAGAATGGATCCAGAGTATGAGGATATAGGATTTTCTGTGAATAACAACCAAAAGGCCTCCACTGTGGAGGAAGCACTCAATAATCTGGTGAAGAGGTTGGCCCATCCTCTGCAAGTCAGCCTTGCTTCTTTCTCGGGCACTCCAACATCGCCCAGTGATCTCACGAACACAGTGGGCATGGAAGCAGAAATGCAGGCTGCATGTGGCTTCAACAATTTGGATTTCTCCTCACCAACTGGGGATCTGGCTACAGTTTCTGTTGAATATTTAGTTGTCCAGCAATTAAAACCAAACTTGAGTTCCTGCTATGAATTAGGCTCGAATGTAACAAAGCCTGGAACAATGGAACAAGGGGAAGAAATGGATTCTCTCCGAACCACCACTGCCAGTACCATCTTCTGCTCAGCACGTACGTGTCCGAATCCTGGGGCTGAAGGCCACGATCCTGACCAGCTTGCCTGGTAGAACAAGATGCCTTGGGCTTGCAGGAGCAGCAGCTCTCCCTGTGGCTCCTGTGGGTACCAAACACAGGAGCATGTGGTGGGTTGAAACATCAGAGAGTCTGAAGAAAGTGGCCTTACTAGAACAGCATCGTATTCTGGACTTGGATTTGCTCTCCTGTTGAACACACTTCTGCACACACCAACGTTCACAGGCTTCTGGGAAGCTTATTCACCACCGTGTATTCCACCCAACATTGGTTCTTGCTAAGAAATGAATTTCACAGCAGTAGGCTCACACTGTGGGGCTCTCTGCTTCTATCATGGGCTCCAACACCTTAACATGGTCTGGCCTCAGAGAGAGTGAGCAAAGACTCCCTTCCAGAACTATCTGTAATGTAGTCAGTCCAGCACATCGATCACTGAAATGGGATCATAACAGACCAGGAGAATGAAAGGTCATCACCCAGAAATTTCGTATTTGAAGACAGGTGCAATAACCAACACAACTTGGGGACCCAATATCATTTAAATAAATTCCTTTTTGATTAAAGTATCCAGAGTGAGTTTCATACAGAAAGTTCTAGAAAGATATATTCCAATGAGTGAAGAGTGATTATTGTTGACTCCATAGGAATTATTTGTATCTTACACATTCTTTTTGTTAGTCTATATTTTCTTAACACGAGCATTAATATGTTTTTATTAATTAGATTTTGTTTATATCATTGACATTATAACAGATAACCCCCTCCACCCAGACCCCACCCTCCCCCCTCTGGTTCGCACCATGTTGTCGTCTGTGCCCATGGGCTGTGCATATATGTTCACAGGCTGTTCTCTTTGCCATCTTTCATCCCATCCTCCCCAGAGCATTGACATTTTTAATAAAAATAATTCTAAAAAATTATTTTAAAATATGTCATCTTGAGTTTACATTGCACTTTATGATCTATGACCTTATGTTATAATACACATTTATTATCAAGACTAACACACCTAAAAAGGGGGAGGGGGTCTCAGTAACCTTAATTCAAAATGAGAGAAAATTACATTGTAAAGAAAGAATAAAGCAAATATTCACTCAAAACCAGGAAAAATAATACTCTAGGAAAAAGCAATAGAATAACTCTACTTTTATTTATGAATTTATTTATTTTTACAAGTAGTTGCTATAACTATGTTATATTTACAATGCTACAAATATATGAGAAGACTGTATGGGAATAGTGACCTCACAGTCGGCAAAAATATAGAATATATTGACTAACAAAAGCAGAAGGCCTTTGTGAAATATTCACAAGTATTAGGTATAAAATTTATGGATGCGGTCAAGTCCAAGGTGTACATCCATGGGGAGACACTCCTCATACATTTTGTTTAAAGTTTAATGAGAGAGAAAAATAGCCAAATACTAATCTATACAGTAAATAAAATCTATCTAATTATTTTCCTAAATTCTTCTGTGTTGACTTATTCTCCAGCAGTCTTATTGCAACCACATTGACATCCCTTATTGATATCTATCTTCTCAAGGAACTAAAAAATAGAAGAACGAGAGAAGTTTAATTAGATTGACAAGCAAAAATTGTACAGTCCTGTCCGCAACCACAACCATATCCAAATCTACAGTCTCACACTCTAGAACATATATCCTCACAGTACTCAAAATCTCATGTTGATAATTATACCATGATCGATGGTGAACTTTGGAAGGCAGTTGCACAACATCAGAAATACCTAGATCTAATTCACATTTGTTTGGTGCCCACATCCAGACCAGCCCAGCTCAGCACAGCCTTTTACTGCTCATCCGTGCTATCGAAAGGCTGCCTCTCATCTGTGTAGCAGACGTAAAGAAGCTACGGGTGGTGCATAGAGCAGAAAATCCAGCAGCTGATGCTGGAATGTATTCATAAGTATATGTGCTCATGTAGCAGATATGAATGTGTATATACATACTGTGCATAGACATTGTAGGGGTTAAAAGAGAATGAATGTTCACATAAATTTAAATAAGTAATGATAGTTTGTGTGTATGTGTATGTGTGTGCGTGTGTATATTTACACGTGTGTCTGTATACATAAAAACTTATAATAGATTCACTCCTCTCTTTTAGTCAAAATATTAGTGATAAAATCCAGAATATAGCAGGTAAGAATAAAGGGTTTTGAGTGGCGGTGTTCTCAGAGGACTCCGATGCAGCCAGGAGCATCATCTTTAGTTAACGCAGCTAAAGGGCTACAGCCAGTGTATCAATCAGGCTCCTTTTTTCCAAAAATTGAGCTAAATGTTCATCAACAGAATGGACGAAACCAAGAGGGGACAAATCAAAATTTTAAAAAAGTGTTTTGTACATAGGACCGAAAAATGGCGGCGGAGTGAACGGAGCTACACAGACCGTCTCCCAGAACCAAACTGGAATTACAACTATAACACAGACAAATCGACGGGAAAAACCAACAGAAAAGCAGCTTGCGAGGACCATACAACGAGGGACACTGACTCCATCCCGGTAGGCTTGCGAAGGCGCGAGACGGGGCTGGGAGCGCACGGTCGGCAGCTCGGCAGCGGCCTTAGCTATAAGCGGCGCCCGCGGGTTACACTCCCAGGCGGCCCCGCAGCGCAGCCGGGACAGAGGCTGAAACAGCCACAGCCACTCACCTTGGGCTCCGGCGGAGGGAGGGCGGACTGGACTGGAACTGTGTCGGGACACTCGGGGTTTGGAGGGCGCCCAGAGCTTTGGCTGAGTGCAGCCACTCAGGACGGTGGCCACATTGCTCCTTCCCAGGGCTCTGAGAGAGGCAGCAGCCCCTCCCTGGGAGATCCAACCCCACCCTGTGGGCCATTGAAGTGCTAATTGAGGCTCACTAACAACCAGCATCTGCCCCACCCTCCTGAAAGCCCCTTGGCTGAACACCAGAGGGAGTTTTTCAATCAACTGACAACCCAAAACTGATCAATTAACCTAGACTGCTAGCCACCAGGCAAAAAGCTAGAGGATAACAGTACGTTTCCTGGGCTGGCAACTTTAACCAGGAAAGTAAGACTTGACAGTGGTGTTCAACGCGGGTCCTCCCTCGCTCATCTAAACATAGGAGAGGGAGCCACAAACAGCAGAACACCAACACCCACAGGGAGAACTTGACAGGCTCCAAAGCCCACAGTGATAGCTAAAATGGTGAAACACAGAAACAGAAGCCAAATGAAAGAGCAAGACACCTCCACCGAAGATGAGATCAATGTGGAGCAATTAGGCATGTTAACAGAGCTAGAATTCAGAGCCATGATCTTGAGGAAGCTGAACAGCATGAGTAAGGACATAGAGACACTGAAAATAAGCCAAATGGAAATTAAAACCAACAAGAAGAGATAAAAAATGACATATCCGAAATGAAAAACACATTGGAAGGTTTAAAAAGCAGAGTAGGGGAAGCTGAGGACCGGATCAGTGAATTAGAAGACAGGGTAGAAAAAATCAACCAATCAGAAAAACAAAAGGAAAAAACTATTAAAAAACAGGAAGACAGCTTAAGAGAACTATGGGACACCTGGAAACGTAATAATATTCGCATCATAGGAGTCCCCGAAGAAGAAGAAAAGGAGCAAGGGATAGAGAATATATTCAAAAAAATAGTGAGAGAAAACTTCCCTAATTTGGTGAAGGAAGAAGGCATTCAAGTTCAAGAAGCACAGAGAGTCCCAAGTAAGAAGAACCCAAACAGGCCCACACCAAGACACATAGTAATTAAAATGCCACAAATTAAAGACAAAGAGAGAATCCTAAAAGCAGCAAGAGATAAGCAACAGGTTACCTACAAAGGGAACCCCATAAGGCTCTCAGCTGACTTCTCACAAGAAACACTACAGGCCAGAAGAGAATGGCATGAAGTAATCAAAGTCATGAAAAACAAGAATCTGAATCCAAGACTACTCTACCCAGCAAGGCTATCATTCAAAATAGAAGATCAAATAAAGAGCTTCCCAGACAAAAAAAAGCTAAGGGAATACATTAGCACCAAACCAGCACTGCAAGAAATGTTAAAAGGACTGCTGTAATTAGCAGTAGAAATGGGAAGAAAATAGAACCACACTAAACAAAAATGGCAATAAATAAGTACATATCAATAATCACCTTAAACGTAAATGGATTGAATGCTCCCATAAAAAGACACAGAGTAGCTGATTGGATAAGAAAGCATGACTCATCTATATGTTGTTTACAAGAGACCCACCTCTCAACAAAAGACTCACATAGGTTGAAAGTGAAGGGATGGAAAAAAATTTTCCAAGCAAATGGAAAGCAAAAAAAAGCTGGGGTAGCAATTCTCATATCTGATAAAATAGATTTCAAAATAAAAAAGTGTTTTGCTACTAAAAATGCTAAGATAGAACGATGAATCATTACAAAATCAAGAGCAAATAATGTATTATGTAAGTAGAGTATATATAGATATATATAAATATACATCTATATAGATATAGATACATAGTCATGGCAAGAGGAATATATATGTATATATAGACATTTATATATGACTTAATTATATTTATGCTTAAGTGTATTTACATATATAAATACATAATCATATATACAATTGTATAATTATATAAGCATATTTATATATCATACTATAAATATATATGAACATGCATATGTGATCTTATATATAGATTAGGTAGTTATTATAAGTATATAAATGTATATAAGTATATGAAATATATCTGGCAGACCTATTATTGATGCTGAAAGCTAAAGGACTAATTTCACTGGGATTATGTAATGGAATCTTTCACCCTCATCTCTACCTACACATACTCTAGACATCCCCTCACCTTGCCCAATTTAACTTTGAAACCAGTCTAAATCTGAGGTCGGTCAATGTATTTATTTGCCAGTAAATATAAGCTATTCTTTTTGTTTTGTTTTGTTTTTTGTATCCTCACCGAGGATATTTTTCCATTTTTTGTTCAGATAGACTAGGAGGGAGAGAGAGGAAGAGAGACAGAAAGAAACATTGACGTGAAAGGGACACATCGAGTGGCTGCCACATACACAACCCAACCAGGGCCAGGGACAAACTTCAACCGAGGTACATGCCTTTGCGGGAACCAAACCCGGGTCTCTCAGGACCACAGGCTGATGCTCTAACCGCTGAGCCAAACCGGCCAGGGCAAGTATAAGCTATTGTTAACTCTTGGAAAGAAAAAGAAATATTGTATTCCATGTCCAGGAACTTTGACCATCTTGGGCACATAGCCTCAAAGGCTGCACAGGGTGTGCACACAGAGGACACTGGGCAAACACCTGACTTAATACTAGCTCCTGCTATGGCTGGTCTGGGTGCAGAACTTCCTGCTAACTGGTGCTCTGCCAACCTCCCCTCCACCCGTTCCCTGCTGCCTTCCAAGGGCTACTCCACGTGGCAGGCAGCTGGGGCCAGCGTTACAAGTTAGGGGAGGGGAATGAGAAGGGCATAAAGAGAAAATGGGAAGGAGACAGAAGACACTGGTGTGCCCCCAGGAAGTGAACTCCTTCTCTGGTCTGTTTCCACATGTGACTGACAATGATGATATTGTCAATCCCAATTCCAATTTGTCCTGATGCAAACCACAGTTCTTTGCCCTCAGATATGGAAGCCAGGGAAAGTTAAATACTTCCTGCAGAATTGTGAGTGTTTTAGTAGCAGTCAGAGTTTGCAAGCCGTTTGCCTTGTACATAGTCCCCTTTTACTTTGGTCCCATTAAGGCCAAACCCAAGGCAGGTACATCAGCAGGGAGACAGCTCCTCTGACAGCAGAAACTGAATAGGCAAAATAAAAAGAGAAAAATGCCAAATCCTAACCCTTGGCCCCTGTCTGGGGAAAAGTGTACCCTTCCTTCCAGGGGCCCGAGTCCCTGTGTTTGCCTGTCAGAGAATTGTTGTGATTTTGTCAGGGTGCTGACACCTTCCCATGAACAGCTGTGAGCCCTTCAGCATATCTTTCTGAAACAGCCCTTTACTCACGCTTGGCATCCTGTAGCCCTTCCTTAGAATGAACTCCTTAAAGGCAAAGGGGCCGTGAAGTTTTGCAAACTCCTCCTCCTAAAACAGGGTCCACATTAAAAACAAACAAACAAAAAAAAACAGCAGTAAGAAGCTTATTCCGTATTTGTCCTAATTAGAAGCATTTGATTCTTTATAAAATGCTTCACTTTAAACGATTTTCTCATTTGAAAAGATGTGTGTATGTTACATTAACAAGTTAATGAATACAAAGGCTTTCAAACAATGTACAACTTCGTCTCCTTTCCCTACCCTTTCTCTAACCCTTATATTAAGGATAAGCCATACCTTTTAGCAATTAGACAATAATTGACCTAAAATGTCTGGAATCTAATCGATTTAAGAATAATAATTATGATACCATGATTTATGTTATTCACAAAGATATATGTAGGCCTATGTTCATTGCAGCATTATTCACAGTGACCAAACACAAACACAATCAAAGTGTCTTTTGATAAATGATTGAACAAAGAAGCTTGGTACATATATACAACGGAATACTACTCAGCCATAAGAAAAGATGAAATATTGCCATTTATGACAACATGAATGGAGGTTGAGAATATCATGCTACATAAAATAAGTCAGACAGAAAAAGTCAAGAACCATATGATTTCACTCATACGTGGACTATAAAACTGAAAACAACAAATGAACAAACAAGACAAACAAACAAAAACTCATAGACACAGACAACAATATGGTGGTTATAAGAAGGAAAGGGGGTGGAGGTAGTAAAGGGTCAGGGAGGTCAAATATATGGTGATAGAAGAAGACGACATTGGGTGGTAAACACACAGTACAATGTACAGATGATGTATTATAAATTTATACATCTGAAACCTATAAATTTTATTAACTAATGTCACCCCAATAAATGTTATGTATAAGTGTATATAATTATATATGTATAATATTATATATGTAATTGTATGTAGTATATATAATTATATGTGTATAATGATATTATATATATGTAATTATATATATATATATATACTTCCTAAAACTGGCACAGAGCTCCTAAAACCCGTGAATGTCCTAAGTGATAAGAGCCACAAAGGTGTAGGAGAGCCTTTTGTGATCCATCTCGAGCCCCTTTCAAGCACACAGGAGTTTATGCTAATGAGGTGACTTTGGTGAGCCCAGAGGTGGATACATGATGGGGGCTGGGTTGCAGAAGAACCAACCACGTGATGAGAGGGTTGACACTCTCAGCTCCGTCTCTCAGTGGCCAACAATCAATCATGCCTCTGCAATGAAGCCTCCATAAAACCCCGGAAGGATGAGGTGTGGAAAGCTCCCAGGCTGGTACACGTGTGGCAGCTGGGAGGGTGGCGCTCCTACAGAGGGCACAGAAGCTCCACGCACGCCCCTCCCACGTGCCTTGCCCTGCGCATCTCTTCCCTCTGGCTGCTCCTGAATGTGCACTTTTTTAATAAAATGGTAATCTAGTAAGGAAACGGTTTTTCTGAGTTCTGTGAGCGGCTCTAGCGGGTGATCAAACCCGAGGAGGGGGCTGTGGAACCTGAGATGTATGAGCCAGTTGGGCAGAAGCACAATGACAACCTGGACGTCAGCTTGGCATCTGAAGTGAGGGCGTCTCATGGGCCTGAGCCCTTAACTGTGGGATCTGACTCCATCTCCAGGTAGATAATGGCAGAATTGAGGTAAGTTGTAGGACACCCAGACGGTGCCCAGAGAATCAGAGAATGTCTTCAAGTTTGGGAGGACAAAAACCCTGACACATTTGGTGACCAGAACTGAGAGTGCTAGAGTAAGAAACAGGAGTGTTTTTCTACTCAACACTATATTCACACATTTTAGACCTTAGATCCAACAGGCATGGTTAAAAAAAAAAAAGACTTGATCCAACCCCAATATCTTTGTGGTATCCATGAATTCATTTGGTTTTTCCATTCATTTATCTGAATTTGAAAATTGGATGTATCAAATTATATCATTGTAATTGACTTCTTTAAACTATTTCACCTTCCAGACAGACAAAATCAATAAGAGTCAAAACTCATGTGTTACCAGACAGACAGCCATGTCATCATTGTGACTGTCCCTTCCTAGCACACCATTGTCCCCGTGTCTTGTGAATTGAGGTGCCACAGCCAAGTGACACCACCCAAAGTGCACAGGTAAATCAATCTTCATATATTACAAGAGTATGATCTATAAAAATCAATATAGAACAACTCCATTGTTTTGAATCCTTCCTATGTCTAACCTGCCTGATAAACCATCTTTTACACTAATAGTTATATAGGCCATATTTCCAAAGTTTAAATATCACTTCTTTTTTATGAGCTGATTGCAATTATTTTGGCAAACTTCTGTATTAATTTTTCTGTCAAAATAAAATATTTTTGGAAAATTATTTGTCTTTAACAATTAGTCTTTAAGAATGTATTTCTAAAAGGAGAACTTCTATCAAACAATGTGTTGGCGAGGGTGTGGAGAAAAGGGGACTCTAGTACACGGCTGGTGGGAATGCAGACTGGTACAGCCACTGTGGAAAACGCTATGGTGTTACCTCAAAAAATTAAAAATTAAATTGCTATTTGACCTAATGATCCCATTTCTAGGAATATACCCTAAGAAGCCTGAAACACCAATCAGAAAGAATATATGTACCCCCATTTTTATAGCAACACTATTTACAATAGCTAAGATCAGGAAACAGCCCAAGTGTCCATCAGTAGACTAATGGATAAAAAAGCCATGGTACATATACACAATGGAGTACTATGCAGCTATAAGAAAGAAAGATCTCTTATCCTTTGAGATGACATGGAGGGACCTAGTAAGAATTATGCTCAGCGAAACAAGTCAAGCAGAGAAAGACAAATATCACATGATCTCATTTATTTGTGGAATATAATGAACATAACAGTCTGAGAAATTGGGTAGACCCAGAGAAGTAGAAGTAGAGTACAGACTGACAACCCCCAGAAGAAGGGTTGGTGGGAGGAGGGAAGAGATATAAACTACAGAACTTATATGCATGTATGCATAACCAATGGACACAGACACCAAAGTTGGGTATAAGGCGGGTGGGATGGGAAGGAGGGTGTCAATGGGGAAAAAAGAGAAATACCTGTAACAAAAATAAATTAATAAAAATTTTTAAAAAAAGAAAAACAACTTCAAGTGCCCACTCTGATGAATTGAGATTAGGGATGAAGCAAGCATTTTGGAATTTTCTTAGCATACTGTTAAGATATCAATAAAGCCTCATCCTGACCCTAAAAAAAATAATAAATAAATAAAAGGAGAACTTCTAGACACCTTAAACCAAAAGTTTTATAACCATTTTCCCCCAAAATATTTCAGAATGTTTAGTTATTTTTAAAACGTGCAAACAAAATAGTTTAATGTTATGTGTTATACTCACATAAATTTAGATAAGCAGCTCCAATAACCAACCATACACCAAGAAATTATGCTAAATATTATTTACATTATTTTGAGGTTTATTTACTATAAGCATCTGGTAGTCATAAATTTGTGTCATGTCACATCTCAAAATAAGAATTTCATACCCAGTACTAGCAAAGATAAACATGACCATCCTTCCTCCAGTCTAAAGGAGGCAGATGAGTAATTTAGGAATGAACAAGTAGCCAAATTTGTATAGCATTTCACTTTTTCAAAGTATTTTCACATTGAGATCTGGGAGAAGTTTTGAAACTGTTGGGGAAAAAAAAAAGTGTTTCACAAGTATTCTCATTAGAGTCCTGTGCCAGTGTTGCATCAACATCTGCGTGTTTTCAGGACTGCAATGAGGATCATTCCATTGGAGAGGTGTACACCAGAGAGCAGCGACAAAGTTTGTGTGCAGTAGAATCAGAGCACATGTTTGTTGTGTGTGTTTGTTGCATTGTGATATCAGCCTTTATTCCTTTCCTCTCGGATTCTGCAACTCTACTCACTTGCATAAAGAAGCTTCCTGGTTGCATTTTGAAATTCTGTAACATTTATTCATTGCTGATAAAAGTAAATAAATAAGCCTTACATGTAATTACTCAAAGAGAACCCATGACATGACACCTATTCTGAATGCTGAAGTGGTCCTACCAGGTCACACCACCCTGTGCACAGCCAGTTTACCCATGGAACCAAACCAACAATGGTAGGAGTAGAATGAGTGGTTGCTTATCTTTGGAGACATTATGTCTACCAGGAAGTCAGAAGATTTCAAGTCTTGCTTATTACACACTCCCCATCTAATGACTTGCCTTTCTCTTTGCCGGATTCAATATGGAAGCTATAAGACTTTTGGGAAACTCTGCATTATTCCCGAGACTCTGGCTTCTATATGAGGTAGCAGTTGCACTGTGATAATGTTAATTCAGAGGATAAAATCACAACACATACACATACCTCTTTCTGCAACATCTTTTTTAAATTCTCATCTTGATCTTTACATAAGAGCTTGGGGTCAACCAAAGGTTCATCTGCTGGTTGCCATTTCCACAGCTTGGGGTTCAGATACCATGCTCCATATCTCATCTTCACGTACTTTGGTTTAGAAGAATTCTATAGAAAATAACACGATTCCTGATTTCATCAGGGGTATTTTGTTTGTTTTGGTTTTCATTTTGATAAAAAAAAATTTAGCTTATGAAAGCAGTATCATTTATTTTGAATTTGTGACTGATCCTTGCCAGAGTAGTTTATAAAGTTTCAGTGTGCCTTGATTTACAAAAGTAACATGAAAAGGTCAAGATTAAAGAAATAATGTGATGGTTAAGCATGGTCTTTGGATTTAGAAAGATCTGGGTTAAAATCCATCCTCCTTCACGTAGCAGATATTAAAGTTCATGGGAAAGTCACTTAAATTCTTCACCTGTAAATTAAGATAGCAGTATCCACCTCATAGGGTTGTTGAGAAGATTAACAAAGAGAATTTTGTAAAGCAGCTAGTATTCATGTAAAAATTACATATTTCTTTTTTTTTTTTTTTTTGGTACGTGCCCCTAGTGGGCACCAAACCTGGGACTCTCTGGTCCGCAGGCCGACACTCCAACTGCTGTGTCAAACCGGCCAGGGCTACATATTTCAAGGGTAATGACCTTAAACAGTATTTGGTCAACCTAAATGATGTTATTAACCCAGCGCTGTGCTCAACCTTGTGAATGCTACACTGCTTTTTGATCAAAGTGCTACCGAACACCAATTTCTTGCCTCTTGAATTAGAAGTAAGGGGTGAAAACAAGATGCCATTCCTTTCTAGCTCTCTGCGCCTGGGTGGAGGAAACTACCAGAGGTCTGGGAAGAGAGCAACCAAAAGGATTAGGGGGAACAGTGCCCAGCAAGCAGACAGGGCCAGGGACAGTGCCCATTCCCACCTGAGAAACCTCATGATTCACAGGACACTGGCGGGAATACACCGAAGGGTCTTGCCTCGGCAGCAGGGAATCAGCCCGAGACTAAACATTTCTTGGGCCTTCCCAACAGATCTTAAAGGCAAGAATCCAAAGGATCAAACTTTTCCAAGTAACGTTAACTACATCCCAGAACAAAACTCAAGTTTATATGAACACAAAACTATCCAGCTCCCAATAAGGTAAAATTCATAATGTGTGGCATCCACTCGAATGTCGCCAGGCACGCAGAGAGGCAAGGAAGCATGAGGAAGTGAGTCCGTCAAGGGCAACTCACACAGAACAGCAGAGATGTTAGACTGAGCGGACAAGAACGTCAAAAGCATTCTGATTATATTCTATATGTTCAAAAGATTAAGTAGAGACACAGAAGATATGTATTTTTAAAAACCCATGTTCTGCTTCTTAAGATGAAAATCATAATGTATGAGATGAAAAATTCATTGGGTGGGATTAAGAACAGACTAGACATTGCAGGAGAAAAAAAAAACATTTGAGAATTCAGAAACAGAGCTATAGAAATAGAGAGAAAAGAAAATTAAAAACTGAAGAAAGCAGCAATGAGCGGTGACACAACTTTATGCAACCGGATTACATGTAATTACAGTCCTGGTAGTGGGTTTGAGAGACCAAAAGTGTTTGAAGAAATAATGCTCAAAATTTTCCAAATTTGATGAAAACTATAAACCCATGGATCAAAGAGGTTCAGCAAACCCCATGCTCAAGAAACATGAAGAAATATACACCCAAGCATGTAATTATAATATTACTGAAAACCAGTGACAAAAAGAAAATGTTCAAAGCAGAAAAGGAATAAAACACATCCAGAAAAACAAAGACAAGGGTGACAGAAGATTTCTCGTCAGACACAACTCAGCCAAGAAGACAGTCAGGGGACATCTTTAAAGTTCTGAAACAGCCCTGGCTGGTTTGTTTCAGTGGTTAGAGTGTCGGCTTACAGACCAGAGAGTCGTGGGTTCGATTCCAGTCAAGGGCATGTACCTTGGTTTCAGTCTGATCCCTGGCCCAGGTCAGGGTCATGAAGGAGGCAACCACTTGATATGTCTCTGTCTCTCCCACTCCCTTCCTCGCTCCCACTCTATGTGAAAATCAATGGGAAAACTATCGTTAGGTGAAGATTAAAATAAGAATAATAACAATAATAATAAATATAAAGATAAAAAACAGTATGTTTAAAAAAATTAAAATAAATAAAGTTCTGAGAACAAACTGAACACTGTGAACATGAAATTATATATCCACAAAAATATCTTGAAAAATTAAGGGAGACTAAAGATGTTTTCAGACAAACAGAAGCTGAAGGAACTCATCACCAGCATATCTACACTAGAAGGAGTGTTAAAGGAAGTCCTTCAGGCAGAGGACCATGTGGAAACATATTTTGAACTTTTGCATAGTGACCCTCCACCTGCCAGTCAAAGGTTCCATTGTGGCAATAACCATGATGGTTTAAAATGAAGCATTTGTGCAATTATTTGTAAGTTCAAGGAATTGAGCAATTTCATTCAGCCAGGTTCAGGACAAGCAGTGTTTCGGGGGCCAGGTGTGGTGGACATAATTCTTTTGTCCAGCAACAGTTTGCATTTTACCCTTTAGAAAGATGAGAGGAAAAGAGAAAATTTATAGAGCTGATATTAGTGATGGAATGCATAGTTTTCATAAACCTTATGCAACAGAGTCAGGGACAGAAAGCATCATGTATGTAAAAATAGGTCAGTCGATTGTGTTTGATTGGAAAGGACAAGGTTAATATGTCCAAACTGTTGAAAATATAGTATCAAAAATTAGGTGTGAAATGCAGAGAGTAACTGAAGATAATCTATGTCTTTCCCTTTCAGAGAAAGAAACTCCCCACCCCCACTCCCAATTCCCATTTAGGCACTCAGGTCTTTGTTGGATTGGCACATTTGACTTGTGTATATATTTGCAATAACACATTGTGTGAAAAAGTGGAAAAGTACTTAGGGGCCCTTTGGAACATAATGTGTGTTTCCCCTCTCTGTTACCTTGTTCTGTCGTCACAGCAAATCAGCATTGGAAACCGAGCAAGTTATTAATGATCAGGCAAGCATGCGATCAGGAAAGATGGTGTGTGCTCAGTTAGATTCCCCTAAAATTTGAAGAATTCTTTGGATGTAAAATGGACAGTGTTCACAATCATTAATTGCAGCATTTTACTGTTGCAATAATAAACATTCACAGATATTTCCACTGTCAGTTACAATTTCAACATATAAAAACAAAAAGATGTGTTTTGACATATGAAATGCATAGAGATATTATCTCAACATAGAAAACACTTAGAATAACTATGACTCTTTGAATATTAACACTAACGCCACCGGACATTATTGTTAACGGTGTGGATAAATGCATCCAGTCAGCCCTCTGCAGCGGGCCTCCCAGCCGTGGCTGGAAACCAGTATGGACATTTTTTTTTTTATTCTGCATATAAGTGCCCTGATTGTATAATTGACTGTTATATGTATTAAATATTAATTCATTTAACAAACATTAAACATTAAAAAATTCAAGCCCTGGCCGGTTTGGCTCAGCGGTTAGAGCGTCGGCCTGTGGTCCTGAGAGACCCGGGTTGGGTTCCCGCTAAGGGCACGTACCTCGGTTGCAGTTTGTCCCCGGCCCTGGTCGGTCGTGCAGGTGGCAGCCACTCGATGTGTTCCTTTCACATCGATGTTTCTCTCTCTCTCTCTGTTCCTCTCTCTCCCTCCCACTCTACCTGAACAAAAAATGGAAAAATGTCCTCGGGTGAGAATAAAAAAAAAAAAAATTCAAGAATACTACTAAAACAGACTTGTGCCCCTTGTAGTACCAAAGTTCAAGAACATTTAAGATTTTAATACAAAATTGTCTTTGATTTTCAGTCTTCTCCACTTTTGCAGTTACCTGAGGTTTCCGCCCTAGATCCGGGAAAAATGTTGACTGCTGCTTCTTCGTGATTCCCAACTTCTTCTTCAGTTCTGAGGGAACCTGGTCAAGGTTCACTATGCGGACCTGGTCATGGCTTGGTTCGCACTGATAGTCAAGTTCAAATTGTTTCATGATGTACTCCTCATCAATCTTTGAACATCCCTGGAAGAATGTCATATGGCATAAGTCAAGGACAAATGGTGAAATGCTCCTTGCTTTCTTCTTTAATCTATGGAAAAGGTTTGACCATGGCTGGGGAAAAGGTAGTTTGAAGTAGTAGAAAAAGCTCGCTCAGTATTCATGAAGACAAGAAGTACAGCTGACCCTTGAACAATGAGGGGGTTAATTAGCGGTGCTCATCTCCAGCACAGCTGAAAATTCTGTATAACTCTTGATTCCCCCAAAACCTAACTACCCTTGGTATTTACATGGTGACGTAAGCCTGGGGGAGGGATTGGTTCCAGGATCCTCCCACGACATCCTCCCCTACACGTTTACACTTCCCCCATTTTACCCCACCCCCCTGAGATGCTCAAGTCTCATTTATAAAATGGTGTAGATTGATGATACAGCCGGCCCTCCGCACCTGGGCTCCCAACTGTGGACTGAAAACAGTATGGGTAGGTGGATAGATAGATAGATAGATAGATAGATAGATAGATAGATAGATACATAGATACATAGATACATAGATACATAGATAGATATATAGATAGATACATAGATAGATACATAGATAGATACATAGATAGATACATAGATAGATACATAGATAGATACATAGATAAATAGATAGGTGTGTGTGTGTGTGTGTGTGTGTGTGTGTATTTTATCTTCACTTGAGGACGTTTTTCCACTTTTCATTCAGATAGAGTGGGAGGGAGAGAGACAGAGAGAGAAACATCAATGTGAAAGGGACACATCGAGTGGTTGCCACCCACATGACCCAACAAGGCTGGGGACAAACTGCAACTGAGGCACATGCCCTTAGCAGGTACCAAACATGGGTCTCTCTGAATAGCAGGCCGATGCTCTAACCGCTGAGCAACACTGGCAGGGCTGGGCATATATTTTTTAAAATCTGCGTATAAGTGGGCCAGCACAGTGCACACCATCTTGTTCCAGGTCAGCTGTATGTGGGGTCAGGAGGACTTAGTGCCTTAAGAGACTATGTAGGACCTACAAAAGCAGTGAGTTCCTGAGGGAATGGGTGGACCTGGAAAAATTTAGGCTGTTTGACTGAACGCAATCTTCTCGAACCCTTTAGAGCGGTGACGTCTCTAGAGGTATTTTCCAGACATGTCCAGAAATGTACTCGTTCTGCTCGCAGACCCTGCTGAGAGAAGCTGCCCCATCAGGCTCCTGCTGAAGAAGGTGATTGGAGTCAACCATATTCTGTGCAGAGAACCACCCCTCACGCCTTCCCCCGCCACGGCCAGTGAGGGTGGGGCAAGCACACTAACAGCCGCTAACCGGCAGGCTGACCCTTGACTTCTGATGTGGCTAAAAAACAGCCTAGACTTGCAGGGGACAGAATCTTCCTTACCACAGTATGCCTCTGGCATAAGAATCATTTTGACATGATGATTTTGAGAAACAGCAGACTAAATAGAAAAAGCTTTGGAAACACGGTAGAAGTCACCCTATTGTAAGAGAAATGTACATTTATGAAAGAATCTCCATGTATAAGGGTGTCTCACTGCCTGTGCCGGGTAGAGAAGGAAGACTCTAAGTCGTAAGTAATGCTCATCATGGAGAACGCACCTACTTACCCTTGTTTACCTCTTTTTCCCGGTCACCTCCTTATAACTGGCTCCCCCACACTGCTTTCTTTTTCCTTTGGCTGAAGATGGTGTTTAAGCCTGTATTCTAAGCCACCTGGGAGAGTTACTCATTCTTCCCTGGGTATTTCCCATGTATGTATGCTAACAGGGGTTAATAAACTTCTGCTTATGTTTCTCTTGTTAACCTGTTATAGAAGCCCCAGACAGACCTTGGAACTCAACACAATCCCACGTTGGAAAATATAAATTGGGGAACACATAGAAAAGAAGGTCGTTAGCAACAGTCTGATGTTGGAGACATTCATAGCGAGGAGTCATGGAATACAGTCAGACACATACAGGGAAGAGTAGAGTGAAAACCAGGCTGAAATAACCATGAAGCAGAAGCAGAGCAAGCAGAGTCAATGAGGTAAGAATGAACAGCATGGAAGGATAGAAAAGCTAATGCTGTGGAGAAAACACCGCAGAGTGATGTGACAGGGACCTAGGTAGGATAACTGAAGGAAATGTGAGACCTTGGCCATAAGGCACTGAGAATAAGGCTTGTCACCAGAGCAGCTGAATCACTATCCTACATTCCTACGTTTCCTGCTTAGACATAGTAGTCTCTGGCAGTAGAATGGGAGAAGTAGAAGGGATGGGATTCAGGTAATCCAGTCCCGCAGATGACGGACAAGCTCCAGGTAGAGTGAGCATCATCTGTCTCCACCAGCGTCCTCACTCCAGTCACCCTGCAGGGAGCCTCCCCTCCTACTCTCAGCCAGTCTGTTGCAGTTGGGTTGGACACACCCAGCTCTTGGCTTCAGGATTAAACACGTGACCTGGCCTAACCAATAAGCATATTTCATTTCCGAACTCATTGTGCATAATTCAGGCACAAGGTATGTGACCCAGGTTAGTCCAGTGAGAGTGAGCCCTGGCTGCTCTTTTCCCACATAGGTTGCTACATGGTAAGATATAAGCTGTAGTGGCTACGCTGTCATCTCTTGGGGAAAGGCTGCTAGAAAATGGAGTCACGTAGGGGAGAGCATCCAAGAGATAGGGAAAGACCGTGTTAGCACCTAGATCCAGCCATGCCTGCAGCTCCTAAGACGTCTGCATGGTTCTCTTTACTTCCTTAATCCAGTCTGAATTATATTCCAGTCACTTGCCAATGAAATGATCCTAAATAACACATTCACTAGGACTAATTAATACACTCAAAAACTGAGTAAGGGAGCTCTCTAACCCTAGGAGGTCTCAAATCCAGGAAAAGCATCGGGGATCTAGACATCTACAGAGACCTGAGAACAGAAATATGTAACTAAATAGGTTCTTGAAAGGAGGGCAAGGAATGGCCTTGATAACTGAGTCAAAACTCTCTTTATGTCAGAAGAACTTTTGCTAAAAGTTGTAGTCAAGCATAGCTGACCAATTAATATAACAGAAAAAATGAGTTTAAGGAGTGAAGGAAGAAGGGAAAAGAAGATCCTGACATTGAAATGGAAAATAAAAATGTAAAACAAAAGGCAGGGAAAATGGAATTTTGTCCAAAGGGTATAACCGCAGTTATAAAATGAATAGGTTCTGGGAATGTACTACACAGACTATATTTAAAATTTTTTCTTTTAATCCTCACCCGAGGACATTTTTTGCACAGATAGAGTGGGAGGGAGAGAGAGGAAGAGAGAGAAAGAGGGAAACATCTATGTGAAAGGGACACATCGAGTGGCCGCCACCCACACGACCAACCAGGGCCGGGGACAAACTGCAACCGAGGTACATGCCCTTAGCGGGAACCGAACCCGGGTCTCTCCGGACCGCAGGCCGACGCTCTAACCGCTGAACCAAACCGGCCAGGGCTACACAGACTATATTTAACACTACTGCATTATATACTTGAAAGTAGCTAAGTGAATAGATCTTAAATGTTTTCAGCACACACCCACGAAAAAGGTAGTTATGTGAAGTGATGAATGTGGTAACTAGCCCTATTGTGGTCATCATTTTGCAACATATCCGTGTATCAAATCATCACACTGTACACCTTAAACTACACAATGTTATATGTCAAGTATCTCTCAAGAGAGCTGGGAGAAGAAAAGACAGCCACTCAAAAAATGTGAAACAGCAACAATGATGGGAGACATAAGCAATAAGCATTCAAATTGGCTGCAAACTTGAAAAGTTTCCAGGGATTCGTCTACAAGAAACATTTCTATTATAAATGGTGGGAGAGGCATAAAGATTTCTTTATGACTTTATTTGACTTAGATTATAGCCAAACGCTGTTTTTAAACAAAAGTAACGTTGAGCATGACTTTAAAGGTCGTATTACTACTATCTTACAATCTCAGTAGCCCAGTTGCAGAGGTCACTGACTGCTTTACGTGCTCTTTCATAAGGATCTGGAGCATCTTCATGGAGCAAATCCTTTTCCTTTGGCTTCGCTTTTTTAAGTGACTGCACTGGAGGTGGCTGAGGAGTCTTCTTGAGACTAAAGATAATGGGATCATCAAAGTATTACAATGTGAGCCACCATTAATTCAAGTGAATTTCCAACAGTAACTTGAAGGAAAGGAAATCATAAAACAAGTATTTCCAACAGTTTCTTGCAAGCTCATACTAATTATTTTAATTTTCAAAGATTCTATTAGTATTATCAATAACATAAAGACAAGTATACTATGATTAATTATAACAATTAAAACTTTGCCCTGGCTGGTTCGGCTCAGCAGTTAGAGCGTCAGCCCGTGGACCAATGAGTCGCAGTTTCCAGTACGGTCAAGGGTACGTACCTCAGTTGCAGTTTGACCCGGCCCTGGTGGGGGGTCGTGTGGGAGGCAACCAGTCGATGTGTCTCTCTCACATCAGTGTCACTCTCTCTCCTTCTCTTCCCTCCTTCCCACTCTATCTGAAAAAAAATAGAAAAATGCACTTGGGTGAGGAGTGAAAAAAAAACTTATATAGCACTTTACCATTATAAGGTGACTTTTAAGGTGATGAGTACCAGTTACTAAGACATGCGCCAGGTAAAAGTGTAAGTTACTGTGTTTGGGAGTCTGCGGAGGACTCAGAAAACCTTGATGAGTAGGAGACGTCCTTGACCTCTCTGTCCCTCGTCCCTAAAATCTGGCCTATTAATTAGTCTGAGAGATTTTAATTCCGCCTTCTTCTCTGGTCTGCTGCAAAAGGCTCCTCGGGGTGCCTCTGAAAAGTCCCTTAGCATCCCCAACCCTTAATCCCTAACCCATTCTCTAAACTGCAACCAAAATGGTCCTTTCAAAATATAAATCTTATCATATCAAATGCAGTCACCCTCCATCCTCGACTAAACTCTCTTCAATAGCTTCTCTTTCAGAACTGAGATCAATTCACATACCATAGTAACTCGCTAATAGCTCGCTGAGGGTCAAGAGTGTAAAGATGCTCCCAAGGCCACACTGACTCACATGTTGGGGTCTCCAAGGGGATCCCTTCATACAGCACTGCTCCCTCTTCCCCACCCGGGTTCTGAGCAACTTGAAAAATGATGCAAAGGGCAAAGATGAAAACCAACATGTTGCCTTTCTTACTGACAGCAGGTCCAAGAGGACTTGGTCATGAAACCCAGCAATGGGCAGACTGTTTAAGCCTGGCCCCTGCAGGGTGGACCAGAGCAGGCCTCCCCTCCAGGAAGGAGGAACAGAGAACTTGTGCATCCCATGGGCCATCGTGCTTCCCAGGGAAAGGAGGGCAGAGCTGAGATGAGCATGCTCGGATGTGCTCCCCACATTCACACTCAGGGGACATCGGAGCTCCTGTCACCCTGCGTCTCCCCCTAACAAACATGTATCATTTCATACAGTGGATTTTCTCTCAGTTCACCTCCACGCAGTTAACTTATATGACTGGCAAAGCTTTCTATGACCCCTTCCAAACACCCTGACCGTGGCTCTGGGCCGTCCGTGGGTGGTCTGGGGGCTGTGGGTGGGCTTCTCTCTAGCACACCCACACTCTTCAGTGCCTGCCAGGGACACCACTTAGTTTCAAAAGTCAAATGCACATCCCAAATCTATTTATGTCAAGTACACTTATCATTTCATGGCAGTTTCATTTTAAATGAAATCTTACATGAGTTGGGAAAACAAGGTGGGGTCCAAAAGAGAGTTGTTTCCACGCAACCCACACTCAAAACTTGGTTTTACATTAAAAGGCCAGCATGGGAATGAGTGTACATTACATTCTGGGGTAAAATAACATGTTTTAAGTTCTTAAGTGTCATTTTTTACAATTCCCTGTATTAACTTTTATTTTTTGATCCAACCAACTACTGGTCCCAATCATGTGAATCAAAGGGCTTCTCCATAACTAATTCAAAGAGCCACTGTGGGCCAATCAATCAGGTTTTCTGAGGTTTTCCTCTTTTCTCGTGGTTCTCATAGTCGTGGCCACAGGCCTGTGTTTGCTTCACTACTGGATGATTCACATCCCTTAATTCAAAACTACTATTTAGAGCCCTGGCCGGTTTGGCTCAGCGGTTAGAGCGTCGGCCTGCGGTCCTGAGAGACCCGGGTTCGGTTCCCGCTAAGGGCACGTACCTCGATTGCAGTTTGTCCCGGGCCCTGGTAGGTCGTGCGGGTGGCAGCCACTCGATGTGTTCCTTACATCGATGTTTCTCTCTCTCTCTCCGTTCCTCTCTCTCCCTCCCACTCTATCTGAGCAAGGAATAGAAAAATGTCCTCGGGTGAGGATAAAAAAAAACAAAAACTACCATTTAGAGCAGGACTCCAGGCTCCTTGCCTCCTCCTTGGTAACTGTTACTTTTGCTTCTGTCGAGTATTCTAAAGATGAGGCGCTTTGAGAAGGTACCTCCCGGAACGTGTCATCAGGTGACAGGACAAACAAGGGGTTGAGAACAATACTCACAGTCCCGGGTGCTCTTGGGTGGGACGTTTTTTCAACAGCTTTTCGGGTTCCTTTGGTTTTTGCTCGATGCCTTCACAACGAGCCCACGCATCCGCCAGCTTCCTGTCAGGATCCAGCACTTTCAGCACCTTCAATAGGAGCTACACACGGAAAATAGATTTGGTGGGAGGGAAGAATAATGTGCTGGGAATGGGCCCCTTGATCCTGAAACAGAACAGATCACCTCGCCCCTTCGCTTTTCCTTCAGTTGGTCAGTGCAGTCATCAGTCCCTGTGCAGATCCCAGCTGGGTGCTGGGTACATTTCCATCACCTACACCTCAGGTGGGCAGCCTTTGTGCTAAAAGGCCATCTCCTCGGGTGGAGGGTGCCTGTGGGTCTGCCGCGGTCCCAGCGGGCCCACTGAGTACTTCGAAAGGAGTTCTGTGGTTTTGGACTGTGCAGCATCCCTTCTCCCTGCGAATGACAGTGTCTAGATTTTTCTTTGGAGAACCATGTCTCCCTCCATTCTTAATCCTCGTGGCCTTCATTGGCCTGACCCATTCTCAGGCCACAGGCAGGACAGTCCTATCACAACCTAAACCAGCCACTCTTCCAGAACAGGCACATAACCCAGGTTGGACCCGTAGGGATTAAGGTATGGAATTTTGCTGACACCATGCAAAAATAAATGTTCTCTTCCTGGCTAGATTTATATCTAGAGCTGCTGGTGGTCATCGTAGCACCATAAAAAGTGATCTGGCCTCAGAAAAAAGCCAACACTCCTAGTTGAACACAGAAATAAGGGCACAATCTATGTGCCCCTGAGGGTATGTACAAACAGTCTGTCTGTCACTGGCTCCCAGGCGCTCACCTGCAGGAGGCAGCGCAGGAAAGACTCAGGTGGAAAATAACTGCTTAGACATTGCGGTTGTCCTTTCTATACACATCTCGGCCACTGACCACTTCTGTACTGTGCGTGGACAGTTACTGAGCATCTGCCATATGTCAGGTGTTGGTGGTACACAGTAAAAGACACAAAGCCCTCCTCACTTATTCTAGTGAGGAGCCCAGTGGTGACAAGTGCTATGTTGAAAAACAGATGATGGTAAGGGATAGAGAATGCGGGTGGAAGAGAAATGTTATTTACACGGTCTCTCAAAGTAGGAGATATTCCAGCAAAGATCGAACGGAAGTGAAGGAGTGAGCTCGGCGGACATGCGAGGCAAGTGTCCCAGACACAGGAACAGAGAACTGAACTGGAAATGTTTCTCATGCTCACAGAAACAGCAGGCAGGAGGCCAGAGTGGCTGCAGCCAGTGCGAGCAGAGCAGCAGGTGGTGAGGTGGGACGGGGAGCAGAAGGCAGGTGGGGTGGAGGGCAGAACACGCAGGGCCTTTCAGACAACAGCAGGGACAGCGGGGTGAGGATGGGTCGCTGGGGGGCTTTGCAGAGGAGTTCAACTGTCTGAGCTGTCATGCTCACTGCGTAGGGAACAGACTGCAAGGGTGGGGCGGGGTGGTAGGCACTACTACTTACTGCCCAATGTCCATTCTGCTCTTTTTCTTGAAATCTAATGATTTCGTTCTGTATCGTGCACAACATTGCAAGGCCAACCAACAAACTAAATTTTCTAGACTCCCAACATGTAGGAGTGGTTAGATGAATGACCTATTCCCAGGAGAAGCTATCACCGTTGACCCCTGATCAACTAGGATGTAAGGGGTACCGACCCCTGCACAGTCCAAAATCCACGTAGAACTTTTGACTTCATAGTTGGCCCTTAGCATCCATGGATTCAACCAACCTCAGATCAAAACAGGATTTTAGATCCTTGGTTAAAAATGTGAATATACTGTTTTCTATATGCAGTTGCTTGAATCTGTGCAGGCAAAACCCATAGCTAGGGAGGGCCAACTGTATTGGTTGAAAAACCACCACATAAGTGAACCTGGGGAGTTTGATTCAGTTCAAAGGTCAAGTGTATTTGCTTTGTTAAAGGACAGAGTCAGCTGGCAAGGATCCTTTAACCTTTGCCCCTTCCCCCTTCTTCTTTGAAAGACTGCATGCCTGGAGGTGTGGAAACCTTTCTGAGATACAAGAACTAGGGACAGAGGCTGAGGATGATGGAGCTGGAAGTCAAAGATGCCTGGGACCATGGTGACATAACGGAGCTGCTGCCCAATCCTCGCCTGACAATTTGGTGAATATTTCCTGTGACCCTTCCGGTTCTCATATGCCCCATAACCATCGCTTAGTAAGTACTTATGGACACGTCCTAAGACCAGGTTTAAGTGACAGAAGTAAGTCTGAACAACACACCTGCCCCGTCGTGTCCCCGCTGAAAGAGTGACAGGCAAAGTAGACTGGCAGCCCTTCAGGGGAAAGGAAGTCGAGTGTTTCCAGTTGCTGGATCTGATCAGTGGTGCCCCTCACAGGAAGCAAAGGAAAATGGTGCTGGAAGAAGCTGCCCCGACCCCCACCACAACTCTCACCCTGGGGAGACACCCCTCCTCCTCCTCTCGACCTTGTAGGCATGTTGACCCTCAGAGGGAACACCCCAGCTCTCTGAGGAGGATTGTCCTAGGCCCCGGGAAGCCCTCCCACACCCGAGGGAGGACTGGAGATCACCTCTGGCGGCATATCTTCTCTCAGGTTTGGGAACCGAGCCAGGGGGTGTGGGGTCAGCTGGGCTTCAATGTCGGCCACGAAAGCCTTCCGTGCCAGCTGCGCTGCTGAGAGCTTGGAAAACTTCACTGCCTGGAGCAGCTCATTCTGCTCCTTGGAACGTCGGGGAGGTCTGTTCTCCTCAAGGCCCCGAAGGATCATGCCTTCTTCGCAGGGAGGGCAGCCTGTCCTGAAGTCGTCTAGTCCATTTCTCACAAATACCCACCGCTTCGCGTTCATGGTGGTGGGGTACGGTGGCCTGGCCTCAGCATTCGTGAAACACTGGGAAGGCACCTTCTCTCTATACCTGAAAGACAACATGCCTGCTTGTCAGGACCACAAGGACTGGGGTAGGAGGAGGTTGTGAGGAGGCTTTGTGGAGAAGAGGTGTGGGGAGAAGGGTTGCAATGGAGAAGGTTGAGTTCTTCACACTGCTAGTTCATGGCACAGTATCACTGGTCTGTGCGAGGCCCTCTCCGGCTGTCTTTATTCTATGTCATCTCCACATCCCGCTCTCGTTGCGCTCGCCCGCAGAGGGGAACCCGCTCCGACAGATTTGCACTGCACCCTTTGTTCCTGCACATCCTGATAATGTCTGCATGATCCTTTTGTGTGCCTGTATTTCATTGCCATACATGCTACTGTTCTGTTTCTTATTTGTTTACCAAGCACAATAGTATAAAGGCCTATCCATGTCACTATGTGTAAGTCTAATCCATTATCATCACCTGCTGCCACCACAGTTCGTTTATCCATTCTCTTTGTGAAGGACACTCACAGTGGCAGCCTCGTTTAGGACTCTTTCTTATCCTTTAAAAGGACTCAGTACAGTGGGGAACACCTACATCTCAGTGACAACTGCCCTCCTCTAGCTGAGTGACCTTGGCACTTTGTTTAACCTCTGTGGACCTGGGTTTTCCTTTAAAACTTAGGGGGTCAACGTTTGCAAACGGGCAGCCCATGGGGTGCCTTGGGCCTACGAACATATCACTTGGTCCCCTTATTGTTTTCATAAGAATCACAATGGCTAATATTTATCAAGAACCTTTTATATAACAGGCACTATTTTAAGTGCTTTACATATATTAACTAATTTAAATCATATAATGACCCTATGAAGTAGGTACCAGTATCGTTTCCATTTACAGATAAGGAAACTGAGACACAAGGAAGTTAAAAAAAACAACAAAACAAAACAAAAACATTTATCAAAGGTCCCACTGCTAATAAGTAGGAAAGCTGGGATTTTAATCCAGGCAGTGTGACTCGGACAAAGGTGTTTATCCTCTACACCAGAGCTTCTGACATAAAAACAACTCTCCATAAATAATTTGGAACTAAAATTGGGAGTGCTGGGAACACTGGGTCTACCTTCCGCGTATCTAGTCCTGGTATGACGGCGGCCTCTCTGGACAAGCCCTCTGCTGTCTTATTCCCAGTGTCAGCCCTCCCCACGCCTCATACCCAGCCTGCTTCCCTCAGTTTCCTTACCCAACAAGCCCCTATTTGTACTGAGTAGTTAAAGCATAAAGACCATTTGGAGAAGAGAAACGGACAAATAGGAGGAAAAATAAGACCAGTTCCTGGATAATCTAATATATCCAGCCATTGCCACTCAGAATATGGAACCTGAGCAGCTTAACAGCTGGTCTCTCATTCTCCTAACACATCACACTGCCAGCTCGTTCTATTGTATTGTGTTTTTTCCTGAAGCCTCCTCTACGTCTAAGCGCCTTTCATCTATAATGGCTCTTTATACCAAATCTACTTCTAGCTGCACTTATCCTATAGGCACAAAGCATTTTTAAGAGATTCCAGCTTGATCCCCATTCTTTTCTTGTGAGTCCTAGAAACTTCTTGCTTGCTGTGCATGTTCAGCTGTATTTTAAAGGCTTAATCTTGCTCTACTATGATGATCTAGATGAAAGGACTCAAAAAGATGAGTTTACAAAAAGTTGCTCTTTGCAATTAATACATCACTTTGAGATAGGAACCTGGTGGGAGTGTTGAAATTATACCTAATCTTGAGATGTGATGACACACCCATTCATTATGATCTACTAACAAATAATCCACCATGGTATTAAATATCTCTACAAAGTTTATTTTCCATATGTTTACAGCTAACTCCAACATCCAAGCGCTTCATGAAATCAAATCTGATAACCAACATTTTTGCTTAAGCACAGTCATACACTTCAAGCCGCATGGAACATTCGAGCTGGCAGAAACCTGAAAGAAATGTTGTCCACCTTCCTCACTTTTCAGTGAGGAAACTGCGCTCTGAGCGGGGAACAAGGTAGCCAGTGTTGAGGCAGGGCTGCACACCACCTCACTGTGTCCCTCACAGCTAATAAACCGACCTCTTTGCATTTTGTTGAGTTCATGAAAAATTCTCTTGACCTGAAATTATCTTTTCTAAACATTTACTGTCTTCACAGCCATTAGTATATGATACATGGATATTTCCATCGTTAAGAATTGCAAGAGTATTGGGCATTCATCCTAAAGAAGTGAAAACACTATGTTCACTCAAAAACCTATACACAAATGTTCATAGCAACTTTATACATATAGCCAAAAAAGGGAAACAATATGAATGTCCTTCAATAGGTAAATGGATAAACAAATTGTGATATATTCATTCCATGGAATACTATTCAGCAATAAAAATGAACAAACTGTCGATACACACTACATCTTGGATGGATCTTGGGCTTTATACTGAATAAAAAAGACAATCTCAAAAGATTATACACCATTTTATTTTATTTATCTAACATCCTGAAAAGAACAATACCAAAGCAATGCAGAACACATTAGTGATTGCCAAGGGTTGGGGGTGGGGAAAGAAATGATGATTTAAAGGGGTAGCATATGTGCCCTGGCCGGTTTGGCTCAGCGGTTAGAGCGCCGGCCTGCGGTGCAGAGAGATTCAGGTTCAGTTCCCGCTAAGGGCAGGTAACTCAGTTGCAGTTTGTCCCCTGCCATGGTTGGGTCGTTTGGGTGGCAGCCACTCAATGTGTACCTTTCACGTTAATGTTTCTCTCTCTCTCTCTTCCTCTCTCCCCCTCCCACTCTATCTAAACAAAAAATGGGAAAATGTACTCGGGTGAGCATAAAAAGAAAAGGGTGGGGTAGCACATCTAAAGGGGTCTCCTCTGAAATGACAAAACAGTTTTGTATCTTGATGTATACATATGACAAAATTTTACAGAACTATACACACAGGAATGCAAGTAAAAACTGGTAAAATGAAAGTAAGGTCTATAGTCTAATACATTGTGTCAATGTAGATTTCCTGCTTTGGCAATGTATTATAGTTATGTAAGATGGTAGCACTAGAAGCTGCAGGGGGAAGGGTACACGGGCCTTCTGCACTATTTTTGCAACTTCTTGTGAGTCTACAATTACTTCAAAATAGAAAGCTTAACAAGAAAAAAAAGAAAAAAAAAGTTTGAAAATGGGCGAAATAGGGGATTCACAAAGAGCTCATACTTGTTAACACGTATACAGTGCATAATCATACTATATGCCAGTAACTGCTTCACATGTACTATGTCGGTTAATCCTCACAATAATCTCATAAAACGATTGTGTTTATTGTCTCTATTTTTCAGTTAAGAAAACTGAGCCCAGCCCTGGCGGGTTTGGCTCAGCCGTTAGAGAGTTGGCCCGCAGACTAAAGTGTCCACGTTTCAATTCTGGCCAAGGGCAGGTACCTCAGTTACCATTCGTCCAATCGTGCCCATGGCAACCCATCCATATGTCTCTCTCACATCCACGTTTCTCTCTCTCTCCACCCCCCTCTTCCTTCTCCCTCTCTCCCTCTTGCTCTATCTGGAGATAAATGTAAAAGTATCTTCTGGGTGAGGATTTTCAAAAAAGAAAGAAAGAGAGAGGAAGGAAGGAAGGAAGGAAGGAAGGAAGGAAGGAAGGAAGGAAGGAAGGAAGGAAGGAAGGAAGGAAGGAGGAGGAGAAGGAAGAAAGGAAGAAAGAAGAGATAAAGAAAGAAAGAAAGAAGAAAGAAAAAAGAAAGAAAGAAAAGAAAAGAAAGAAGAAAGAAAGAAAAAGAAAGAAAGAAGAAGGAAAGAAAGAAAGAAAACTGAGCCCACGAACTTGCCTAAGGTCACCTTGCAAGAGAGAGGCGAGAGGCATACTGGCCTTGACTCCAGCCTTTCTGATTCTAGACTTGGTTATCTTTACCACCACACATCAGTCCAGCCTCCTAGAGAGCAGAATTCCATTCTCACTAAGGCTCAAGGAATCAGCAAGGGCAACCAGCCTTGGATTCCTGCCCTGTGGCTGTGACACTGCCCCCATAGGCCAGGCAGTCCCCAAACACAGGCTCAGCTTGCCCACAGTCACCCGCTAAATGGCCAATGGCTCAAGGTGCAGCAGACCCCTCACAGGGGGTGCAGGGGTCCAGTTGGCTAACTCGGAGAAGGGTGAGTCCTAGACTAAACCAGTCTCCACAGAGGACTCTGTGGCCGTCAGTTTCCCATCTGGAATAGTTCTTTTAATCTGCATCCCCGGGGAGTTGTAAGGATTATAGAAAAAAAAGGTGTCCTTTGCAATGAGCAGCGTTGAGCGCTGGTTATTTTATGTTATAATCTTTTAGGTGCTGGGCACCTTGAAGGGGAAAGGTAGGTGGTCCTGCAGCCCAGCCCTGGGTTGCCATCGGCCACCCCCACCAGCAGCTCCAGCCCTTGCCCAGCCCCAGCCCCAGCCCCAGCCCCTGCCCCACCCCAGCCCCAGCCCCAGCCCCTGCCCCAGCCCAGCAAGAACGGGTTCCAGGCGCCCCCATGCGGCACCCGGCGCTTACCGGGGCCTGCAGTTCCTGCCAACCCCGGTCAGCTCTTTAGGCCTGAACAGACGCCTGTCGTTCGCCATCGTCTCACTTTCGCAGCGGTGACCGCTGAGCCGTTGGCGATTCTGCGGTCTGGCGTCTGGGGTCGCTAGGAGACCACGGAGCCACGCGCGCTTCGATTCCACCCCGGCGCGAGCCCAGGCGCCCCCCGCGAAGTCCTGCGTTTCCCTGGAACGCGCCCCTGCACAGCTCATACCCCTGCTCGCCAGGGGTCCCGGAGGCCAAGGTGTTGGGGACCTTGGCTAGGGAAGGGAGAGGGCCATGTGCTTGGTTTGTGTTTGTTTTTTAACTTACTTTTATTGTTGAGAGCACTACAGATGTCTCCCATTTTCCCCACTTTGCCTCCCTCCACCGGGCTCCGCCACAGCCCAGGCCTTCACCTCACTGTTGTCTGTGTCCAAGGGGTATGCGATAAATTCTTTGGTTAATCTCTTCCTGCTCTCCTTCCTCC